AAAAAAAAAAAAAAAAAAAAAAAATATGTTGAAAATCCCAAGACTTACTGAAGTTTTGAAATTCTGAACAAGAAAATTGTGGACCATTGTCTGAAATTAGTATTTTTGGAATTCCAAAACGAGAAAACATAGTTTTCAATTTATGTATCACATTTCCAGCTGTTAAATCATTACTCAAATTGGCTATTTCTACAAACTTTGAGTAATAATCTACTACTAAAATATAGGACTCTGCCTGAAAATGAAAAATATCTGCCCCTAACTTAACCCAAGGCGATTTGGGCACTTCGTGAGGCCTTAGAGGTTCTGGACCTTGAGTTCTTTTAAAAGTTTGGCACACACTACATGCTGATATCATATCTTCTAATTGTTTTCTCATAGCTGGCCAGTAAAACGACAAGTTAGCTTTTTCTAAACACTTTTTATAGCCTAAATGGCTATAATGCAATTTTTCTAGAATTTCTTTTCTTAGTGCTTTGGGTACTATTAATTTATGCCCTTTGAACATGAGATGGTCTACCAAAGATAATTCAGACCTGTATTTATAATAGAATTTAATATTATCTGGCCAGTGTTTTATGTCTGAGCAATGTGGACTTTCTAAAATATTTTTTAGATTAGTTAGTTCTGGATCATCTCTAGTCATCTTTTGAATTTCCCGTTTCTTATTTTCTGTTAAATTTAGAGTAAGTTCTAAACTGCATATTTCTGCCTCTATCTCAAAATCTTGATTTTCATTGAAATTTACATCTGATCTGAAAGCTCTACTCAACGTATCCGCTATTATAATCTTTTTTCCAGGTTTATATATGAGATCAAAGTTATATTTTTTTAGCTGAATCAACATTCGTTGTAATCTGGGAGGGCAAAGATGTAAGGGCTTTTTAATTATTGCTATCAAAGGTTTATGATCCGTTTCCACTATAAATTTTTTACCATAAACAAATTGAGCAAATCTTGTTATCCCAAACCAACATGCTAATAACTCTTTCTCTATTTGGGAATATCTACTCTGAGTCTCTGTTAGAGCTCTTGATGCATGAGCACAAGGCCTTTCTTTTTGCAATAAGACGGCTGCCATCCCATATTGGGATGCATCTACAGATATAGTTGTTGATTCACTAATATCAAAAAAATGTAAACAAGGTTTTTCAGATAATGCTTTCTTCAAATCAGTGAATGTTTTATCATGATTTTCATTCCACTCAAAAACTGTGTCCTTTTTCAGAAAAGCTCTCAAATTTGCTGTTTTATCTGTCAAATTATTCACAAATTTACCTATATATGTGACCATACCCAAAAATCTTTGAACATCTTTCACATTTTTTGGTGTTGGCATATCTAGTATAGCCTGTATTTTGGACTCATCTGGTTCTATACCTTTCTCACTTATCTTATGTCCTAAATATTTGATTTCTTTAACTAAGAACTTACATTTTGCTTTGTTGAACTTTATATTGTGATCACTAGCTATTTTCAATACTCTATCTATTATTCTATTATGCTCATTAATCGTCTTAGCAAAAATTATAATGTCATCAATATAGACATCACAACCTTCTATATTTCCAAATATGTTGAACATACGTTCCTGAAATACTTCCGGAGAGCAGGAAAGACCATATGGAAGCCTAGAAAAAGAATACCTACCAAAAGGTGTAGCAAAAGTACACAATTTTGCACTCTCAGTATCTAATTTTATCTGTAAGAACCCTTGGGTTGCGTCAAGTGTACTAAAAAACTTACAGTTAGCCATTTTTGCTGTTATTTCCTCCAAAGTAGAAATTTGGAAAATTTGCCTTTTAATATATTTATTTAAATCTGTTGGGTCTAAACAAATTCTTAGGGTTCCATCCGCTTTTTTCACTATAACCATGGGATTTACCCATTCTGCACTACCAGTTACTTTTTTGATTATATTTGTTTTTTCTAGTTTATCTAAAGTTGATTTCAATTTTCCTTTCAATGCAAATGGAATTTTCCTTGGTGGATACACTGTTGGTTTAGCTGTACTATCTAATTCTATGTGATATGTCTCTTTTAGACAACCTATACCATTGAAAATATCTTTATATTTATTCAAAACTTTATCTATTTCTTCATTATGAACTGAATTCTCTAATGTTTCTATTCTTTTTATAAGTTCTAATTCAAGGCACCCTTTGAGTCCTAATATTGGAAAATTTTCTGTTTTCACAACATAAAATATCAATTCAACTTGTTTATTTTGCTTTCTGCATTTTAGATAACATTGTCCTATCACTGGCAAGCTATGATCTGTATAAGAACTCAATTTAACATTTGTATTTTGCATTTTAGTCATATCATAGTTGATTTTACTCAACAGACTTACTGGTATTACATTTGCCATTGCTCCAGTGTCCATTTTGAACGTAATGGAGTGATTTTCATTAACCTCAAGGTCCACCATCCAAGACTCTCCACTCAGTGCCCCAATCTCCTTAGGTTGGTTGTTGGTCGTCTCGATACTACCTATAAAGAGAACATCTTGTGAATCTACATCATTATCTATATTATGTTCCACACAGTGAATTTTTCTATTGAAATTTTGTGTTCTATGTGTGTTATATCTTGAATTTTTTGACAAGTTTTGATGTGAATTTTTAACATTAGTTTTACAATAGTTAGTTAAATGATTCATGATACCACATCTGTCACACTTCTGTCCAAAGACTGGGCATTTTCGATAGCCATGTAATCGACCACATTTCCGGCAGTTACTCTGCTCCTTGCTCTGACGTATGTGATTCTTCTTGAATGTACCTGTCTTTGACTGTTGATACTTCCTCGGTTGACTGGAATACAGGACATCTATCTCCGAACTACCTTCAGCAAACCCATTTGTTATTTGCCTATTATAATCCCTGGTATTTTCAGCATTGATACACATCTTAATCGCATCCTCAACAGTTTTAATATCTTCTTGTAGTAGTCTCTCACGAAGTCGTTCAGATTTCAATCCACATACCAACATATCCTTGACTAAAGCTTCTCTTAACGTGCCAAATTCACATGAAAGAGAGAGATTTTTGAGCTCTGTTACAAACTGCTCTATGGTTTGTCCCTCTTTTTGTTTGAATGTTAAGAACTTATAGCGTTCAAACGTCAAATTCTTCTTGGGGTTGAAATGTTCATCAAACTTTTTCAGTAGACTGTCCACAGTTTCAATTTCTTCTCCTTCTGTTTTGAATGTATTATATATTCTGATTCCTTCGTCTCCAATCAATGTTAAAAGTTGTGCACATTTTGTACTTTCCTCCTTTCTACTTATCTCGGTTGCCTTCAAGTACATTTCAAACTTTTGTTTCCAGAACTTCCAATTTTCTGATAAGTTTCCAGACATGCACATGGGTGGAATTCCTCGGAAATCCATAATCATCGGCTATGTTTCCAGCTTTTTCTTTTATTTTTAATTATTAAATAGTATTCAATATTCACCTTCTGTGAAATATTTCCCACAATCTCGAGAAAAATTATTAATCTCCTGTTCAATTTTTCCTTTTTTAGGGAACTTGGTTCGTTCACGACTGCGCCATGTTTGATAGGTTTGGAGGAGAGGTTATAAATTATACCTGTTCGGTTGAGGTCTAGATAGCAACTGCTTTATTTCATCATTTGGACATGTGTCATGAAACATTGACATATTGACAATCAGATCATAGATCATAGATCACTTACATCACTGACATTGTATATTTTTGCATTTTTGGATTATGATTAAAATTCCAAAGCAAATTACATGTATTATGTTCTGTACCCAAACTCAACTGCTTCGGGAATATTTACAGTTGAAACTTGACATTTTTTCAACTTTGACAGACTGTAAAACCTTGAAAGTTTAATTTTAGAGCAAAATCGATTTTACATTCTAGTCTAAATTTTCCATAAGCTATCAATTAATTATTGACACTAACAGATTATGAAAAAATATGAAATTTTAGGCATGAAAATCTCAAAAACCAGTTGAAATAGATAATCCAAAGTGTGTCAATATAGCTAGTTTATGAACAACAGACAAGAATGTGAAATCGGGATTGCTCTAAAATTAACCGTCAAGGTTTTACAGCCTGTCAAAGGTGCAAAAATATCAAGTTATAACTGTGAATATTTCCGAAACAGTTGAGTTTGGTTAAAGGACATTATACATAAAATAAGCTTGCAATTTCAATCAAAATTCAAAAATGCAATAATATACAGGGCACCGATTTAAAAAATTGAAACTTCCTTCAGAATTCGACATTTACAATGTTCATATGTAAGATTTGATTAAAACATCTAGTGGTTCAGGTAAAATGCTACAACTTTTGTATTTATCTTTTTTAACTAGCAACTGTAATTATGGTAGGTGGTGTGTCAATTTTTGGTGGACCACCCTGTACAAATAAAAAATGATAATTTTATTTTTAAATTCTATAATACCTAGCTGATGAGTTGAGGCGTCTTTTCTATGAGCTTCCATTTCGATTTTAGATACCTGGAAAATTCAACTACCAATTTTTTGGATTCTGAAAGTTTAAGTCATATTAAGTGATATTTTATGGTAATGGTATTGTCATAATTATTATTATTTTATTTAATTGCCATCATTGTAGGCAATACCTAATTGTTGATTTTCCCGAGGAAAGCAAAAATGGGGAGATAAGCATGGCTCTAATATCAAGCAGTTGGATTTTTGAAGAGCATGGCATGTTATACTGTTACTGGCCCGTCTATATAAAGTCTACACTTTCAAGAGAAAAAGTGGTTAGAAACCATACCCCCTTATTAACAAACAAATGCCTCAAATGCGCCATCATGGTAAAACATAGTAGTGGTAAGTAATTAATAATAATACAGTCATATTTTGATTGGTTGAAAAAGCATAATTAATATCAAATATGCAAGTTGAAAATAACTATGTCACAAAGGGTAACTGTAAATAAATGCATAAATAAATGAAAAAATGAATAATCAATATTTAGAACTTTTCGTATTTTTAGATGACTATGAACAGGCATGTTTCAAGCTAAGAAAATTAGAAGAAGATGATTTGTCACAAACAGACTCCAAAAGTAGGAAATCACAAAAAAAATCAACCAAAAGAGACGAAGATTTCGTTTATTTTGAGGCAAGCGATATTAGCGATGATGAAGATCATGATATTATTCCTGTTCCTCCAAAATTTCCAAAGGAGCCAAAGCAAAAATCGTCAAAGGAGCTGATGAGAAAATCGTCAAAGGAGTCAAAGGAGCCAAAGAAAAAATCATTTGCTGAACTAAAGCCAGTTGATAGACCGCGAAATAATAATAATTATTTTCTTCCACCAAGTAGTCCCAAACCTAATCAGGATCAAATAGAAGTCTCACCAAATCAAGGCAACTATAAATGCCACTGCGAAAAACCTTCAAGTAATCAATATAATCGGCTTGTTGAATGTAAATATATAAACAATTAATTTTTAGAAATGGTGGAACGCCTGCTGCGCGACATGCAAACGATTAAATTGGATGTTAGAAGTCTGGTTTTGGAATTAAACAATAATAAGTAACAGTATCAACAACTGGATGCTCAGCTACGTTTCAAAGATTACCAGGAGCTTCAAAAATTCAATGAATCATTATTGGAAGAAGATTACTTTAACAAAATGGTAACTTGATTTTAAAATAGTAGTTTTTATTACCTTTTACTGCTATTTCAAATTGCATGATTATTGCAATTACCTATTCAGTTTGAAATTTTAGGTTTTTGTTTTATTCAATTTTTTTCCAAATGATTTTCTTTTAGCAAGCATCAATTTATTTGTTGGGAGGCAGGGATTTGAACGACACAACCAGAAAAATGTTGTCACTTTTGGTGAGCCATGAGCTATCCCTGAATATGAATTGGATAGGGGCAAATGAGAAAGGCAGCTTCCAAAAACTGGAGAATGTTTTGAAACTTACATATGGTAAGATATAAAAATATCAATTCATTATAATAATTTGATCATCTTAAGCTTTTAATGAACAACAATTTTTAAATCCATCTTTTTTTTTTCAATGATGTTAATATGATATAAAGTGTTGAAATTACATTTTTAAGGCATGCATGTGAAAGTGAAATTCACATGAGTGGCTTAAATGTTCTTTCAAATAAGGAAACGTGCCATAAAGTCTTTGAGGCACTAGTGTCTCAAACTAACATTTTCAACGCTAGTGGCATTTTTAACGTGTTTGTAAAAAACATGTTTTATTAGTATGTCCATTTCAATATTTACAAAGAAGGAGAAAATCATGATTTTCACTTCATTTTACGAAACTTTCGTTACATAATATGTTTCGACACACTGTGCCTCCTTCAGACGAACTCTTTTTTTTTTTCTGAATTTAGTTTGTCTGAAGAAGGCACAGTGTGTCGAAACATATTATTATGTAACGAAAGTTTCGTAAAATAAAGTGAAAATCATAATTTTCTTCTTCTTTGTATTAATTTCGCATTTTCATCAAGTATTGGCTACTTCAATCAACAGCATTTTAATATTTTTAAGGAGCCTTTCGAAAAAACCAGGCAACAGCAAACGCGACAAATTCGGAAATTGATAATGCTATTCGCAATTGGCTGAAAAATGCTCCTGATAGGGCAGGAGGAAGGGCCAATCGAAAAAATAAAAAATGAGTGTTTTACCTTATTTATAAATTAGGGTATTTTGTTCAAGTTGTTTAAAACTGCGCCATTGATTCCTTACTATTAGAATCTTGTGTATTTATTTTTTAATTACATTTGTAGCATCCCATTGACACATTCTAGTCTTATGATGTGAACTATAAAAAATATGTATAAATATTTTTCGTTATTTCAATGTATTTTTTTTAGAGGGTTATTCCATAATTTGTTTCTGATATTCTGATATCAATATAAATATAGTATATTTTTTTGGTCTAGTTTTTTGAAACTGCGCATTTTATTCATGATGTGTACACATTTTCCGTTCCTTATAATATATTGGGAATTTTTTTTTATCATTTCTTTCAAGCTGTAGATATTGACACATTTCAAAAATGTTAACTAAAAGATTAAGAGGGGTTTAACCCTATGAGCGATCATTGGGGAAACAAGGAACGGCAGAAATCAAAATACTCGAAGCTCGCTGAATAAATTCAAGATATTTTTTCACGAATCGTTTCTAGAAGGTTGGATCTAGGCATCTCTCGGAGTACTTTTTCAAAATTTTGAAAAAAAAATAGTCGAAAAAAATTCCGGAATATTGACCAGATTCACTATTTTTTATCTCACTAGGTATACATTTTTTTTGAAAAGTACTTCGAGAGATGCCTCACTTATACATTTATTTTCGTTGTCAAAAAAATTCGCAAGAATCCATTCAAAATATCACCATCAAAAGTGATTTTTGCTGGACCTCTGCAGACGCAATTTTGGATCATTTTTCTTCACTGATACGAGCGCCCTCACACGAATATGCACTTCTACATGGATACTATGAATGGTTGAATGAATAGTGAATTCATTCATAAAAAGTAGCACTGAAGCTATTCAGAAAATTTTAGCACTGGAGATGAAACCAAAAGAAGTTTTAGATGGGTTGATTGAATTTTTGAATACGACGTATAGGTACGTTTATTAGGTAACCCATATAATAAAAATACGTATGGTAGGACCCCAATTCCAATAATTTCAGAATGCGAATATAAGGAATGCCAGAAGTTCCATCACATTTATTCTAGGTAATAAATAACTGGTATTATATAATATACGAGTTACATATATTTTAATATTCTTGTCAACATTAAGAATTTGCCTTCTGGAAATAGATAAACAGAGAAATCTCTCATTGAAGAATAAAAGTTTCGCTCCAGGTGACTCACCCAATTAGATGATAAAAGATTGAACATGTTTGGCAAGCGGCAAGCGATGGACATAAAGGCGGTGAGCATAAAAGCGGCGGACATAAAGGGTCCGAAAATCCTGGAATTAGTGTTATACACGGGGGATTGGAATATTGTTTTTGTTCAGTTTACTTCAGTATTCCGACAGTGGCATTTGCGTTTTTCAATATTTGTGCATTATTTGTGTGAGCAAGAGGTATAATGCCGAGAAGTAATTATCGAACTGGTAATAAATACCGCAGAAGACAGTCTGTCAAAATATACCTCGCAATGATGAATGTTGGCAAAATGAAATGTAATCGAAATAGTGGATAGTAGATTCGAAAGGAATATGAAGATTACAAATTGGAGTTGTTCCTGTAATATATACAGGGTGTCTCAGGTTTAGCTCGTCTAACTTTGACAATCGAAAGCAAAAATTGAAATATTATACACGTAGTTTTTTGTTTTGTCGTGGACACACTTGTTTTCTTTATACGGGGTGTTCGAGGTCGCATGAATTTTTGGTTTTTATTTTTTATTTTTGTTGAAACCAAACCTAGAGATTTGACATTCGGTAAGCACTTTTTTATCTGTAATATATGAACTGTCCCTATCCTTCTTAGTTTTCTTGTTATTCAAAATAATGTTACACCTACTATGCATAACAATTTCATAACCTAAATGTTCATCTTACATCAAATTATCATTCGAATTGAATATTGAATGGTTCACGTACACGAAAGATATTGAAACAAATGAAAAACACAAAGTGTGGTGAAGAAATAATAATGATTTTTCATTATATTCGATTCATCACTAGCGTCCCAATAAAAAAAATCTGACGAGTTTCATTTCAGAGGGCTCGAAAAAGAATAACACCGTTGCTCCCATTGGGGGTGACGATAACACCTAGTTTTTTCAATGGATAAGGACTGTTCATATTGCCGATAAAAATAAAGTGCTCACCGAATTTCAGATCGCTAGTGTAAGGTATTGAAACACTGTTGTAACTAAAGCACACTATATTGAGAAATACCACAGTACTACACCACGTATTCGCAAAGACTGCCTAACTGACAACCGTCCACCTTCCTTATCCCCCGATGATTGTACCCTTGCATAATCGTATGACTCGACGTGAGTCAATGTGGATATCAATCTCATATACAGGGCGCAGACTATCTTGTAGATGTGGTGCAACACTCGGCCATCCTGGATTTTGCGATCGTCCCCGATCGCGACATCAGTCTGAAAAATGCAAACAAAATTAGGGTTACTAATATTTCCTGCTTCGCACACTCCCTATACCCCTGCCAGCAAATGAACAATCTCCCACCCCTGCCAGCAAATGGGCATACTCCCACCCCTGCCAGCAAACGGGCAACCTCCGACCCCTGCCAGCAAACGGGCAATCTCCCAACCCTGCCAGCAAACGGGCAATCTCCCACCCCTGCCAGCAAACGGGCAATCTCCCACCCCTGCCAGCAAACGGGCAATCTCCCACCCCTGCCAGCAAACGGGCAATCTCCCAACCCTGCCAGCAAACGGGCAATCTCCCAACCCTGCCAGCAAACGGGCAATCTCCCAACCCTGCCAGCAAACGGGCAATCTCCCAACCCTGCCAGCAAACGGGCAATCTCCCAACCCTGCCAGCAAACGGGCAATCTCCCAACCCTGCCAGCAAACGGGCAATCTCCCAACCCTGCCAGCAAACGGGCAATCTCCCACCTCTGCCAGCAAACGGGCAATCTCCCAACCCTGGTATGGTCTACTCACCATTCAAGATCTTATTTTGAAAGGTTTCATATGTTCCAAGCAAACTACAGCCTCGTATGGTATTCTTGATCGAGTTGAATGTATGTCCTCTTTAACCCTGTAGCGATCTTTAGGTAACACCTCAATTACTTTGAATGGTCCCTTGTATTTAGCTAATAACTTCTTACTTTGACCATCGTTGGATGGAAGGCTGGAAATTCTGGTCAACACCAAGTCTCCAACTTGGAATCCATCTGAGACCCGTCTCTTTTGATTGAAATAGTTATTTTGATAACACCTGTTTTCTTCCAATCTCTCACTTGCTTTACGTCTCAGCTCTGTCACATCTAAAATGTCTTCATCTTCCATATTTTAGCGATCTCCATCCGTTCTGAGCCTTATGCCAAGAAGAGGTACCTGCGCCTGCCTGCTGCTAGATCCAAAGTGGAATAATACTGAAATCCTCCTAAGGCGTCTATTAAATCTTCGATTAATGGGAGTGGAAATGTTTCTTTTTCCGTTATTTTGTTCAATGATCTATAATCGACCACAAGCCGTTTCTCTCCACCTTTATTATTAACTAGAATTGCTGGACTAGCGTATTCTGATTTGCTCTTTCGTATGATATTAGCTTCCAAAAGTTCGGTAATTTGTGTTCTCATTGTGATTTTATCGTTTTCCGATAACCGATATGGACGATAACGTATAGGAATAACAGATTTTGTGATAATTTTCAAAGATACTGAATGTGCTTTGCCCAACATCCTCATTGAGGTGTACATGCAACCCTCGAATTCGCAAATGAGTTCGGAGAGTTGTTGATTTTCAATTTGTGATAACGCCCCATGTGAAATATCATTTGTTATTGAAATGGTACCGGCATTGGTCACGTTAATATTCTTGGATGTATTAGACTGAATGAAAATCA